ACCGGAGAAAAAAAACAAAAAAAAAAAAAAAAAAAAAAAAAAAAAGATCAAAATGGAATTATGGGTTTACTTTTTACACTCCACTGTTTATCTAGCACCACTTTATGCATAAGGTACAACCACAATGTGCAGTAAATGAGAAAAAGCACTTCAACAATGGAGAGCCAGTCTGGTTGGCTATGGACCTGTTAGTAAGACTGGAAAAAGTTTTATTTTGTGATCTAAAGTACCTAAACTTCAGAATATTGCACCCATTCTTTCTACTATCCCAGTTCTCCAACTACACAGAAGCTTCTGTTATCACTTGAATTCCCAATTCTACTCACCAATTGCAGAGTCTGGGTAAGGCAAATCCTGAGGAGAGCTGTAATAGGCCTCAAGAGTAAAAGGTTCCTTTCTATAAAACGTGAGGACTTTAGAGAAAGGAGCAGCATGATTTTTTGAAAATACTTCACAGTCACTATATGGAGGAAAAAGACAAAAACACGCAAACTTAGGATGTTCCTAACTCTGACTCATTCTATGTTTGCCAATTACTATACAGTCCTAGTTTCTCTCTCAACTGGCTTTATCTCCCCATTATGAGTTTCCAAGACTCTATATAAATAAAGTCAGAAAAAAATAAATAAATAAATAAATAAATAAAGTCAGTTTTTAAAAAAGGAATAAACTCCATCAGCACAAAAAGGCACCAATGATTTCAGCAGACTCAAACAGAAGAATCTAAATAAGGACACATTTATTTGTGAGTACAGTCACTGATCACTTTGCTCCATGGACTACAAATTTGTATAAGGTAAAAAGGAGGGCAATAGGGCTAGGGGTAGAGCTCAGCGGCACAAGCGCCTGCCTGGCAAGCACAAGGTCCTGAGTTTAATTTCCACTGCCAAAAAAAAGGAGGGTAGCATATTACATTAATCTGCATAACTATGACTAACACAGATCTCACCTTGACCCTTCTTCCGCTGGAGAATTCCACCTCAGAGATATTGGGTATGGCACCACATCAGTAATGGAGAACTCTCTCACTTTGAAGGCAGGTGATAAGATCGCACACTAGAACAGTAAGTTTTACAACTTCCATGTAACGAAATGCAGACATTATGAACTGGTTTCACTAGACCAACAAATAATAATGTGACACCATCACTGGAGGTCATCCTTAAACATCTGCATTAAGAATTTAACAGTGTCTGAACCAGCAGCTTTACAAACTTCTATCAATCAAACTACCTGCATGCCTCTGCTGTACCTTTTTACTTTCCATTCACCCTTACTTAACTGATGCACACCATTTCACAGAGACAGAAACATGCCAAAGCCCCGCAGTGCTCCAGGCTCAGAATGGCCCGTATCTCTACACATTCCCAGGCCAGTTCACACTCACCTCACTGGTACTAGCACAATCCCTTTTACAGACACGTCTATGACAATTTAGAACGCAGGCGTCCGAATCTCACACCCTGAGGCCCCTGAGCCAACCTCCGCTTCCAGGAAGACACACCAGTTCCTCGTCACTATCACCGAGGAAGCAGAGAAGCCTCACCTGCAGTGCACAGCCTCGAGTGACAGCTTCATCAGCGTTTAATGTCGTACTAAGCTCTTTGCCAAAATACTTGCTAATCTTCTCTTTTACTGCAGGGATTCGTGTGGCACCACCAACTATCTCCACGGCATAAATATCTTCTTTCTTTAACTCTATTAAAACAATTAGACATTTAAATTAAAAGAATCTTTAAATTAGTATTTCATAATGAAATAAAAGAGGAACACGCGTGGTGGCGCACACCTATAATCCCAGCACTTCAGAGGCTGAGGCAGGAGGATCATTTTGAGTTTGAGACCAGCCTGGGTTACAAAGTGAGCCCAAGCCTAGCCTGAACTGTATAGTGAGACCCTGTCTCAAAAAAAGACAGACAGACAGACAGAAAGAAGACAGACAGAGAAAAAAGACGAAAAAGAAAAAGAAATAAAAGAGCAGTAAGAGCTTACTCATGAACTCCTAACGAACTCCTTTACTCCCTGCCCCACACAACCCACCCACACTCATATGCACACGCAACAGGCCCAGGCATCTGGAAACGAGCAGGTGCTGTGAGGAGCGGGAGAGGAGTGGCACAATAGTAGTGGGACTTAGACAGCCTGGGCCAGGCATTTTCTACGTCCTACACACTTGGCACAGTTCCACAGAAGGAACCATTGATAATCACCAATACAGACAATCACATATGCTATCTGTCAAGGGCTTCCAAGTATTAGGTCACCTGACCTGGCATGAAAAAAAAAAGGGTGGGAACTCACAATCACATCTAGTGATGTCGGGGCTGGGGATTTAGCTCAGTGGCAAAAGCGCCTGCCTCGCAAGCGCAAGGTCGTGAGTTCGGTTCCCGGTACCGGAGAAAAAAAAAAAAAAACCAAAAAAAAAAACCACATCTAGTGATGTCAGCACAGCCCAGATTAAAGCCAGGTACAAAGAAGCCATGACAGTGCACCCCTATAACCCTAGCACATCAGAGGCTAAGGCAAGAGAATCACAAGTTTGAGGCCAGCCTGGGCTACAAAGTGAGACCCTGTCTCAAAACACACACACAGCCCAGGCATGGTGGTGCACACCTGTAATCCCAGCACTGGGGAGGCTCAAACAAGGAGGATGGATTGCTATGAGTTTGAAGCCAACTACACAGTGAGTTCAAGGCCAGCCTGGACTATACACTGAGATTCTCCATCTCAAAAAAGGCAGGCAAGGGGCTGGAGCCAGATGTAATGGTGTGACTTAGTCCCACCTACTCAGGAAGCTGAGGTAGGAAGACTGCTTGAGCTCAGAATTCCAGGGTAGCCTAGATAACATAGTAAGACCCCTTCTCAAAAAAAAAAGTGGGGAGGGGCTGGGGATTTAGCTCAGCGGCACAGTACCTGCCTGGCAAGTACAAGGCCGTGAGTTTAATTCTTGGTACCAGAAAAAATAAAAATAAAAAAAAATAAAAATTTTTTAAAAAGCGGGAGGTTTTGTTCCCGGTGTTGAAACACTGAACACCTAACCCATACTGAGTGGAGAGTACCTCTCAACACTGAAACTGTTAGCAACCAACAACACACAGTGTACTGTATAGGCAACATTGTGTCCAAAATTTCAGGAAAATTACTAACATGTTCCTAAATTAAAGGGCCACTTAGCATCCTGCCCAGTGAGGAGGTCTGGGCCTTGCCGTAAACCCAGCTACTCAGGTGGCTGAGATGGGAAGACTGGAAGTTTAAGGCAGCATGAGCATTTAACAAGACTGCTTCTCAAAAGAAAACCTAAAATGGGCTGGGCATGCAGCTCAGTGGTACAGCATCCCTGGGTTCAATCCCTAGTACCGTAAAAAAGGAAAAGCTAAAGCGTCCTATTCAATAAGGTCGTTGTCCTAGGTTCCTTTCGCTGTATCTCTCCACTAAACAAGGATCCACTGACAGAAAAGCTTACTACCGCCTCACCACGCCAAAAGACAATTTTTAATAAATAACTGAAAAGCTTATACCCACCTTAGTCTCAATCAGTTTTCTAGGAGAAACTTTCTGGATTTCCCTAGATATTATCAAAGATTACTTTGGAAAAGAAGGCATTCCAGAGCAAAGATAAAGATAATAGGAAATAAGGCGCTCAAGTAGCTCATACAATAAGTATCTCTGAGAGGAAAAAGCGATGCTAACACTTGCCAAAGAGTCTGAGGTACACAGACAACTCACAAGAATACTTACTGGCTTGCTCCAAAACGCTTTGAAGTGGCGGCTCCACTCTAGCTAAGAGGTCGTCACACATCTCCAGAAATTTGCCTCTGTTAGAAAAACAATAGGAGGTTAAATCACATCCCATTTTCAGGTGCAATGGACTACAATAATTGAAAACCAGGTAATAACCACTGTTGGTAAAGATGTGCAAAAATTGGACTGCACATATACTCCTGAGTGACATAAAATGGAAATGGCACATTGTTTGTTTTTTCTTTTTCTTCCTTTTTTTGAGACAAGGTCTTGCTACTATGTAGCCCAGGCTGGTCTTGAGTGATCCTCCTGCCCCAGCCTCCCAAGTGCTGACATTACAAGTGTGTGCCACCTCCCCTGGTTGTTTTGTGTTTTTGAGACAAGAGTCTTGCTTATCCAGCTGGCCATGAACTCAATGCAGCCCAAGCTGGTCACTTATGATGTTATGTGGATGTCACTATAAAATTCTCTTAACTTTGCTGAACACTTGAAAATGTCGTGCACACCTGTAATCACAGGATTCGGGAGGCTGAGGCAGGAGGACTGCTGCAAATTTGAGACCAGCCTGGGCTACAAAGTGAGCTCAAGGCCAGCCTGAACTACATAGTGAGAGCCTGTCTCAAAAAGACCAAAAAAAAAAAAAAAAAGGAACAAAAAGACTAGGAAGATGGCAGCAGCAAATGTTTCTGACAGTTTCTTTTTTAAAAGCTTTACTGAAATTGTTATTCACATACCACAAAATTCACCTAAAGCGTGTAACTCAATCATCTTCCTTTAAGATGCTGGAGACTAAGCACAGAGCTTCATGCACGCTGGGAAAGTTCTCTGCTTCCTGTTTTTATTTTGAGACAGGGCACTGTGCTGCCGGGGCGGCCTCCGAGCCACTGCTTCATCCACTGGTGACTAATCCAGTAACAGCTGGCCATGACCATCCTCGTCAATTTACTTACTTATCACCAAAAATAGTTTCATTACCCTACAATGTTCTTTTCCACTATCCCTCATATAGGTCTAAACAACTAATGTACTTTTTGTCTTGCTAGATTTGCCTTTTTTTTTTTTTTTTTTTGGTTTCGGGAATTGAACTCAGGACCTTGCACTTGCCAGGCAGGCGCTTGTGCCACTGAGCTATATCCCCGGCCCAATTTGCCTATTCTACATATTTCATATAAATTAAACTATACAAAACTGATTCTCTGTCACTGACTTCTGTCATGAGCATAATGTTTTCAAATTTCACCATTTTAGTATGTATCTACACAAAATTTTTATAAGCTGCCAAATGATCACCCACTGTATGATAAAGCCACATTTTGTTTACTAATCAACTGACAGACATTTGTGTTGTTTTCCTTTTTTTACCTGTTATGAGCAGTGCTGTAACAAACACTCATGTACAAGTGCCTGTGTGAACACATACACACACACACACAAATACAAAAGGCTGCCAGGTGTGGTGCACACCTGTAAGCCCAGCACCCAGGAGGCTGAGACAGGGGATCACCCCAAGTCTGAACTCAGCCTGGGCTCCACAGTGAGTTCGAAGTCTACCTGGACTACACAGCAAGACCTTGTCTCAGAAACAGAGGCAACCCACTGACTCCACAATTCCTCCGCATCAGCTCTGTAAAAAACCACTGAAGGAAACAAAGGCATACAGTGTACCGGAAAATTCCAGAACCAACAAAAGCAAGCAAGCCAGTCAGAAGGCATATTGCACACTCCACAGCAAGACCGCCAAGATCCTTGATAAAAGATACAGGGACAACAGCAAAATGGGCCCAACCTACAGTTCTCTTCAAGGGGAAAAAAAAGGACACTGTTAAGGAAAAACTGCTAATATAAAAATCTAAAATGAGCATGGCAAAGCAGTAAAGACAAAGGGAGACAGGGGAGAAGGAATGCAAATCCCCCAAGTCAAAAAGCCACACTTTTTCTTTAAATTTCACAAGCTAGGTATAGTGACACATTCCCATAATAACCCCAGCACTCTAGGAGGCTGAGGCAGGAAGACTGCCAGGTTCAAGCTCAACCTGGGCAACTTTGTGACTTGGCACAACATTGCATCTCAAAATTTAAGAAATAGTAAAAGGGCAGGAACTGGAGCTCATGATGAAGGCCCTGGGTCAATTCCCACTAACACACACGCACATGCAAGATTTCACAAAAACACAGAGGATGTTCTGGAGCACTAAAATCACACCAACTCTCAACTTTCCCCAAAGGATCAGGACTGCTTATTTCACCCAAAAATGAGCTATGGAACAAGAAAACGCACAGGAAAGCCAGGTGTGGGCCCACACTGAGAGGCTGAGGCAGGAGGATCCTTGTGAGTTCAAGAGCAGCCTGGGCTACAAAGTGAGCTCAAGGCCAACCTGAACTGCATAGTGAGACCCTGAAAAAAAAAAAAAAAAGTTGAAACAGAAGTCAGAAGTGAAAACTAACAAAAGCTTATACAAGAACATAACCAATAAACAATGCTAAGAACTGCAAAGAAAACAGCCAACACAGAAGACTGCAAGAAAGTTTAAGGTAATTACACAGGCATTCCCAAAGAAAGCCAAAGCAGGGAAACAGAACAAAGAGGCAACGTAATTCTAGAACATCTAAATTTTAGAATACATAATGGTGTGCAACCACTACAAAGGCACAGTTCACCTGAGGAAAACTAATCCAAAACAAGCAACACCTAAACATACTATAGTAAAGTTACTGGACTTTCAGGGGGAAAAAGAAGTACCAGAACACCTGAGCATCTAGGCAAAACAGAACAAGTAAAGGGTAACAGAAAAGGAGGAAGTCACTTTTGTCACACTATTACTATATGGCAAAAGAAAACAGATTATCACTGTTTAAGATACTCAGGTAAGAAGACATGAACTAAGGATGTTCCATCCAGTAAAGTGACTTCTCAGTATGAACGTGGAGACAAACTGCAAACTGAAGGAACACCCTCCACATGTGCGGGTCCTCAGGAATCTACAGAGAGCCACAGGAATCTATGCTGGTGCACACCTGTAACCCCAGCTTCTTCAGAGGCTTAGGCAGAAGGATCACAAGTTTTAGGACAGCCTGGACAACTCTGCAAGAACCTATGTCAAAACATGCTTTTGGTGTTTTTCTTGGGGAGGTGGTTATTTTTTGAGTCTGAGCCTCATTATATAGTCCAGGCTGGCCTCAAACTCATGGCAATCCTCCTGCCTCAGTCTCCCAAGTGCTGGAACTACAAGTGTGCACCACCACAGCTGGCTAAAATACATTTTCAAAAAGGGGTCAGGAACACAGCTCAGGAGAACACCTCCCTACCAAGTAGGATGCCCTGGGTTCAATCCCCAGTACTGAGGAGGGGAAAAATACTACAAGAGAATGACCTTTCAACAATAAAAATGAAGACACAGTGACATAAAATCAAAAGAATTGACACTAACAGGTGACCATGAGGATGTAGAAAAGAAGTCGGGCGTGGTGGTGCACACCTGTAATCCCACCACTCAGGAGGCTGAGGCAGGAGGATCGTTGCAAGTTCAAGGCCAGCCTGGGTTACATAGTGAGCTCAAGGCCAGCCTGAACTACACGGTGAGACCTTGTCTCAGAAAGACCAAAAAAAAAAGGCATTGTGGAAAAAGTGGAAGCCTCAAACACTGCTGAGGCAGAGTGCTGAAAGTTGCCCAACCTTAACAAGGAAGGAAAATAGCAAGGAAGAGAGTTTGGTGATTCCTCCCAAAGTTATAAAATTACAATACAGGCCAGCAATCCCACGGACACCCCGAAGAACTGAAAGCCACTACTCAACCAAGTATTTGTTGTCAGCACTACTGGCAACAGCAAAAAAGTAGCACAACGCAAGCACCCATCCACCAGTGGACAGGTATGTAAAAAACGTGGTATAATCCTACTATCATTACATGCACGAAAAAGGTACTGATACACGCTACAGTGCAGATGAACACGAGGAACATTACACTAAGGGAAAGCAGCAGATGTACGTGTATGTAAATAAGGACCAAGATGTGTAACAGGTATTGTGAAATAGGAAGAAAATGTTTAAATTGGGAGGGGAACAAGGGGGGAGGAAAAAAAAGAGAAAAGGAAAAAATGGAAACAAAACTTTTGTAAATGGGAGGGGAGGAGAGAAAGAAGAGGTGAACGGGAAAAAAGTTACATCATGCACAGGTACAAATTCTCTATAATCAATGTGATCATTATGAGTCTCTAAAATGTACCAATAAAATCTAATTAAAAAATAAAGTCTAATGTCATTAATGACTAAATAAAGGCTATAAAATAGCATATAACCAGGTGTAGTGGTGCATGTCTATAATCCCAGCACTTTGGGAAGCTGAAGCAGGAGGGTCACAAGTTCAAGTGCTACATGGACAACTCAGCAAGACCCTGCCCCAAAACAAAAAATAAAAGAGACTGGGGGCTGGCTCAGTGGCAAAGCAGCTGTATGATTCCTGGGAGGGAAGAAGGGAAGGAGGGAAGAAAGAGGGAGGAAGGAAAAGGAGAAGATGGAGGGAGAAGTAGAGAGACAAAGTAGTGAAAAAACGAGAGTCACAGGATCTATGTTCTGACAATGCAGACACAGTACAATTTGTTTTTAAAAACCAGCAAAGAGGCAAACCAGTTTCTACTTAGAGGGTATCAGCCCTGTAAACACGAAACATCTCCCTAACAACTTCTGAAACACATAGTGGCTTAGCCACTGTCTCCAGAAAACATATGCACACACAATAAAAATGAAAGCCATTCCTTTCAAGTAAGAGAAAGGACAAGTTAAAATCTGGATACTAGGCAACAGTAAACGCCATCTCAATTTTCTAAGGATCACTGAGACATACTTCTCTAAACAAACTATTGGTCTTGTCTAACATCTATCAGCAAAGCTCACAGCCAAAAGAACAACACATTCCCACCAACCAAGCAACACATCCAGGCAACAGTAACACTGAGCGTTTCTGAGAATGTCCCGAAAGGTCAATTACGCAGAATCCTTGCAGTGCTGTACAAAAACAACCACTGCTCCAAGTGTCCTGAGCTGCTCAAAAAGAGCAATTTCCTAATCAATGGCTAAATTAAATCCAACTTAATTCTACATGAAGTATTCTGCCCTAGTTTTATGAAAACTGGTAACTCACGTATAATATACAATCCATATGTATGTTAGAACTTCCTAGAATTGCTCAAAATAAAAACACTAGTTTCTGCTAAAAGAATAATCAAACCTTTACATAAAAACTAAGTCCCAAATGGCCTATAACTTTTACGCAAAGAAATAAAGTTATATTAACAACCATCATAATTTCAACAAATTAAAAAAAAAAAAAAAATGTTAGTTTTAACACCAAAATGTGAATATTAGGGGCTGGGGATGTAGCTCAGTGGCATAAGCACCTGCCTGGCAAGTGCAAGGTCGTGAGTTCGATCCCCGGTACCACAAAAAAAAAAAGACTCAAAATGTGAATATTGTTACCTATTCATAGTTCCAGAGACATCAACATCATTCATAAAACATTCAATGCTCAAAGGGAGGTCGGAGGCATTTGCGCTCATCAACTTCTTGAGTTTCTCACACTCTTGAGATAGCCGTAATAGTGCACGGATTTTAGACTTTATGTCTAGCTTGTATTTCTTCCCAAATTCTTCACAGAAGTGATTTACTAAAACCTCATCAAACTTCCTGCCTCCCAGTGTTGTGTCAAATGCTGTAGCCAAAACCTTAGAAAAAAAGACGATAATTAATCCAACAATTAATCAATTCATTCTAAAATTTATCATGAGACATATTTAAATTGTTTAGAAAAAAGCAGGTGTGCATTTATTTCAAGGTTGAAGACAACGTGCATGTGTCACTTAATCCCTGATAAAACTACAGTGACAAATAGACACTGCAATCCCCAGTTTACAGATTATGCTACAGATGCAAACAGGTGAGATAACCTGCAGGTCATAAAGCTGTAACGTTGTGGAGGTGAAATTCAAAATCAAAACACGATTTCAAAATCCATGCTTCTCCACTCTGCTAATCCGATTCCTGACAGCACTGAGGACAGATACGCTAATGTTACTTACATGTCTCGACTTAACACTATCACAAAGCTGCGAATAATACGAAAGGCCTACTCTAAGCAGTTTACTACCAGAAAGACACTAAGCCTTGACGACAACTCTGTCTTTAGCAGAAATCCAGTAAGCTTATGCTATTAGTTTTCAAAGTCTGTAGATTAAATGCAAACTAAAGCTAATTAAATTCAATAGGGGGCTGGGGATTTATTAGCTCAGTGGCACAGCGCCTGCCCAGCAAGCGCAATGTCGTGAGTTCGATCCCCAGTAAGGGGGGGGGGGGGGGGGTAGTGAATAAAACGCTAAGTGATAAACAAAAACAATCTCTTCAAAGAATGCAAAAAGCCATTAAAAATTTAATACATTAATTACCTGGAAAAATATTGGACAAAGAACTAAATGTAGTATGATTTCAATTTTGCTTCCATTAAAAAATGAGAGTTAGCCAGGCAGGCTGGCACGCACCTGTAATCCCACCTACTCAGCAGGCTGAGGCAAAGGCAGGAGGACCACAAACTCAGCCCAGCTCAGGCAACTTAGTGAGACCTTGTCTCAAAACAAAAAATAAAGAGCTGGCAATGCAGCTCCATGCAAAGGCCCTGGTTCCAACCCCCAGTACCACCAAAAAAAAAAAAAGGAGGGGTCAGGGCTGTGAAGGGGCAAGGAAGGGGAACCCATCAAAATGTTAAGAGCACTGAGACTGTGGGTAACTTCTTTTCTTTACACATAAATATTTTCCAAATTTGAGGGATTTTTTTTTTAGTAATATGTATTTTTATAATTAAATGTAAAAGCAACCAAAAAATTTGGAAAACTGACAGGTGACAGCCAACAGTGAGACACAATTTAGAAACTCAAATACAGATGTCTTAACACATTCTGATGCAAAGTCAGCTAAATTATGGCCAGAATCTTCTGTTTAAAAAACATGAAAGTGGCCGGGCATGGTGGTGCACGCCTGTAATCCCAGCACGCAGGAAGCTGAGACAGGAGGATTGTTGTGAGTTCGAGACCAGCCTGGGTTACAAAGTGAGCGCAAGGCCAGCTTGAACTGCACAGCGAGACCCTGTCTCAAAAAGATTAAAAAAAAAAAAAGGTGAAAGCATAAAATGCATTTTAGAAATAATTCCACTAGTGATTAAAGTTTAAATACAGGTGGCCCATCATTTATAGCTGTAAACATCAAAATCTTCTCATTTCCTAACCTAAAACAATGTAAACCCAAACATAAAGCCACACCTATTTTTCAAAGAAAACAGGACTATTACAACAGTCTCGAAACTACCCAAGTACTCACCTGCCCTGGTCCTGCTCCCTACCAATCCCAAATATGGGGAGAGAAGCCAATTCAGACTTTCAACTGAAGCAAACATTAGATAAAATCATCTTAGCAGATGGAGAACTGATTTTATTCTTTATTGTGGAACTACTAGAAACCAACAAAATCAGTTAGGACTATGTTCACCCGCTGTCCCCTCCTTCTTTATAGTAATTCTACAATTCTGTGTGCTTACTGCAGGACTTCAAGAATTCCAGGGGCTGGGGATTTAGCTCAGTGGTGCAGCACCTGCCTGGCAAGCGTGAGGTCATGAGTTCGATTCCCAGTACCAAAAAAAGAACTCCAGAAATGGCTGGGTGTGGTGGCACATGCCTGTAATCCCAGCACTTGGGGAGGCTGAGGCGGGAGGATTGCTATGAGTTCAAGGCCAGCCTGAACTAACTACACAGTGGAAGCCTATCTCAAAAAGAAAACAACACACACAAAAAAATCTAAGATTCATTTTATGCCTACAAGGTAAATACTGTTTCTCTTTTAGAGATGACAGTTAAGACAGGATGGGCGGGGTGGCGCACTAGGGATTTTACCTAGTGCATCTTGAACCAAGCTACATGCCCAGGCTTTTTTTTTGGAGACAATACCTCACTAAATTGCCCAAGCTGAGTTCAAACTTGTGATCCTCCTGAGGCAGCCTCCCAGAGTGCTGGGATTACCAGCATGCACCTCCATCCCAGCTAAGCCTTGGGTATCTTAAGAGCATGCAACTCTTGTTCCTCCCTCCCCATTACGGATCATGGAACCCAGGGCCTCACACATGCTACACAAACACTCTAACACTGTGCTACAGTACACTCCCACCTCTTCTTTTTTTTTTTTTGGTTTTTTTCCGGTACCGGCAATCGAACTCACAACCTTGCGCTTGCCAGGCAGGCTCTGTGCCGCTGAGCTAAATCCCCAGCCCTTCATTATATTTTCTGAGACAAGTTTTTGCTAAATTGCCCAGGCTGGCCTCAAACTTATGATCCTCTTGCCTCAGCCTCCCAAGTGGCAGGCAGTATAATCATGTTCCATCGCACCTGGCACCATGACAACTCTTGATGAACTACTTTGGACCTCCAATTGTCATTCTACCTCTGTAATAATTATTTTCTAGTTCATACGGCTCATAGCAAGCTAATAAAACAAAATGAACCAACCATTTATTAGTCTCTCAAAAATGTGTAATTACTATACTTGTAATAATCTTAAGGAAAAAACTGTACTTACTTTCAGTTTTCCTCTATTAAATGCACATACAGAAACTTGATAAGCAGAATGCCCCATGTCTACAAAAACTACATTTCTTGGTTTCTCTTCTAAGGCAGGAAGATCTTGTTTATATATTCCATAGGCAAGAGCAACTATGTAAGAAAAACAACACAGTGGTAGCATCTAGGTAATAAACAGAAATTTATTTAAGCAGAAAGAACAAGTTCTACACATAGGACTGGGATTGCATCATGTATTATGTCTTAAATAAAATCAAATTCTTTCTTTGTTTTGGTTTTTTGTTTGTTTTTTGAGACATGGTCTTGCTATGCAGTTCTGGCTGGCCTTGAACTCACTTTGTAGCCCAGGCTGGCCTCAAACTCGCACCGATCCTCCTGCCTCAGCCTCCCGAGTGCTGGGATTACAGGCGTGCGCCACTGCACCTGGCTTTTTATTTTTTAAAAATCATATTCTTCACAAACAGTGCGTAGTTTATTCCTGAGGAACATTGACTTCAAAGAGTTAAATGCTGCTGGTCAGCCTCCCTCACAATTTCCATTTCTTCCACCCTTGTGCCGTGTTACATTCCTGCATGCCCACTCCCTGACATGCTTGCTACTTTACACTCCATCCCTTACTGCACTGGTCCACAAGTCAGACAGAAAGACAGCCCTGAAAGTAAAGCACTGCCACACCACAGTAAGTGTGTTCCTTTCCGAGTAAGTGTGTCACTGAGCACCACAGCATACACTGTAGGTGTACAGGAGTACTGACGAGATCAACTTTCACATATGACCCAGTGTCCAAAAAACACTGCGACCCACAGGATGTAAGCAAGCATGGCAGCCTGCCAAGAAAAACGCAGAGCGAGAAACTCTTACTGTAAGGTCCTACACCCACCAACGGTATCAAAGCAGTGAAATCATGTAGGGCCATCTCACCTGCAGTAGTTTCATTCATTAACCGCAGGCAGTTGAGACCAGCAATCTGTGTTGCGTCCATCACGGATCGTCTCTCTGCATCAGTATAGAAACAAGGAACCTACAAAAACATTGGCAAGGTTACTGTATGATGGACATCATCTTATCATTGAAACCCAGGACCTCAAATATCTCCAGCAATTTCTTCTACATATGACCAAGGAAGTATTTCAACCATTAGAAACAGTTACAATATTCAATGATAGCACTGGGACAAACACTAGCCACATACTGCATTATGTTTCATTACACAAACGATCACAATTACAAGACCTGAAGTTATTCTGATATGAAAGCCAAAGACTGCTGTCCTTCGGTCTGCTTGCAAAACTGGCCCTTGTGTGGCACTGAAGAATTCCACTGGCATCTAGGAACTTGTGAATAATAAAGGGTTGTGCCTTAAGTTAACTTGAAAAAACAAGAAATCCCAAACTGGTGAAGAGTGGTGCACTTTGCCTAAAATGTGACTAATCAATGTACTTCACAGTGACAACCTGTTCTTCTGGGTCTAGAAGTCTGGTACTTGCCAGTGCAGGACACCTACGTGACCAACTCCCAAAATGGAAACCCTACGCTTCTACACTCAGGCAAAATTTTCCTGGTACAGGATACTTCACACACGTTACCAGGCCTTTGCTGCTGGAGAGACTCAGCACGTTCTGCCCAACTCCTGAAAGCCTGTGCCTCACTTCCTCCAGAAGCTGTGTCACGGTACCCTTTCCTTCCCTTGATTTTACTTTATGTCGTTGCTCTGGAATAAACCTTACCATGCGTCCAGCTATATGTTCAAGCTTCCTCGCAAATCACTAAAAATTCAGTGTGGTCTTAACGACCTCCACACAGCACTTAATTTATTTTTTCACTGGAGAACCTCAGGCATTCCACTATTTCATGTCGAGTTTTACTTCAACATCCTTCAGATGAGATCAGGTGCATTCAGGACAGTGTGGCCTAGACGATTTCAGCATCACTCAGGACCAAATTAAGGGCATGAGATGAAGGAATGGGGACGAATCTGGGGACCAATGCAAAGGTATGAAGCACATGAGAAGTGCAGTCCGCACTCATCAGCCACTGAGGAATCCAGGTCACTGACTCCGCGCTCCTGGCGCAGCATTTTGTTCCTCTTTACATACCCAAAACGTGGTACATAGCTATAATCCAATTATTCCTGACAATTTTACATTACCAGCTAGCCAAGGAGTCTACCAGACTCTGGAGAGGAAAAGCAACCTTACCGTCTTTGTTTTGCCAATGAACAAACCAACATTAAAACAACAAACCACAAACAGAACAAAACCATGGAGCTACACTACCAGGTAACAATGGCAGAATGAGGAAATTCAGTGGCAAAGCCAACAGCCACTGAAGACTCCACCGTACTATGAGCGAACAAAGGGTGGTCAAAATATACAGTTAAGGGGCTGGGGATATAGCTCAGTGGCACAAGTGCCTGCCTGGCAAGCACAAGGTCGTGAGTTCAATTCCCAGCACCAAAAACAAACAAAATATAGAGTTAATGTTTAAATTGCTTGAAAAATTATTCAAATAAAAGACACAGTGCCATTAATTCCCCCTCCACACACATCCCACTTTGAACACGCTTAACCCATCATTCTTGCCACTTTCTGAAGCAGTTCTGGAAGTCGTCTTCACATCTAAGGTGCGGTGAAAACTGTGGGAAATGCTGCTGTACTGCGTGGCCACGGGCGGCGTGGAGGATGGAAAGACGACTCGGAGATAAGATAGTTCAGTCACCGAGAGGCCCAGAGAGGCTGTTTCTCCACCAAGAGTGCCCAGCATCAGTGGGACTCTGGGAGAAGAACCACCCCCAGCCGAGAGCGCTCTTGGAGTACTAGCCTAAGAGGCAAAAGCCACTGGCCCGGACTGTCTCAAAGCTACACGTTTTCTCCTGGGGAAAGGGGAAGGACAACACCCATACACGACATACTTTACTAAACTTACTACTTCACCACTCACTCCGCACACAGCCTGCAAACCTTCTGCCCCAGGTTATTCTCACAGAGCCCGCGTGCCTCGTGCCCCACGGTGTAATTACTTGTGTGCGTTTGCCCTGTATTTTCACTGTTCACTTCTCGTAGAGCCCATGCAGTGCTTGTCCTGCAGTTCAACCCTGCAGTTCAAACCTTCACTCCTGACCAGGTCCCCCACAAAATGCTGCTACCCGAGCACCCTCTAACAAAAGGCGCTCATAATAACATGACAGTGTCTCCTCAGCCACCTTCTTCATCGGATCTGGCACTGCGTGACTTCTGGCTCTTCCCCAAAGTCAAAATGACCACAAAAGAGTTGAATCCATTCAGGTTATTGAGAGAGCGACAGTGCAACTGAAGACAAGAAAGAAAGTAACGAGAATGAGGGGCGAGTGTGTTCAAAGCAACAGGTAATATTGCAAGGGCACTTAATGGCAATGTGTCTTTTACTCTGATAAATCGTTTTTACTTCAACATTCGCTGTACTTCTTGATCACACCACATAACAAAACTACATTTATCCAGGCTTCCATCCAAACAGGAATGAGGAAGAGATGAGACCAGGTCCACTGCTCTTGCCTTAAGAGCTTGATACAGACAGCACACAGAAAAGGAGAAAAAGCTATTTACACTCCAGAGTACTCAATTAACACGAACAAGTAGCTGCCCTGGGACAGGTATGGTTAGGTGCTAAAACCAATCTAGGGGACAAGAATGGTGGTACATACCTGTAATCCCAGCACTCAGAGGCTGACACAGGAGAATCACTGCAAATTCAAGGCCATCCTGGGCTATAGAGTGAGTTCAAGGCCAGCCTAACAGCATAGTGAGACCCTGCCTCAAAAAGACATACATACGTACGTACGTACGTACGTACATACATACATACATACATAAAAAACAAATCTAGGAAGGAGCGGAATACGAAAAGAGCCTTAAAAAACAGACAAGATTTAAACAGGCCAAATAGTGGAGGAGATAATCATTCCAACCTGAGACAAGACAAGTATTTGTTTTTGTTTTTTGAGACAGGGCCTTGCTATGTTTTCCAGGCTGGCCTTGAACTTGAGGTGGTCCTCCTGACTCAGCCTCCCGGATGCTGAGATTACAGGCATGCACCACCACACCTGCTTCAAGATGAAAACCATTTAACCTGCAGTTAGAAATTTATTTTCTTTGCTTCATGATCAAAGTTCCTAAACCAAATAGGGATCAAACTCACCGAAACCACACAGTCAACAACAGGCTTCTTAAGAACACTTTCTGCTGTCTCTCTTAATTTGGACAAAAGCATGGCAGTCACTTGCTCAGTGGTAAAATTCCGCTCTTCTTCCATATATGTCACCTGCAAGAAAACGAAACCATCTACAGTGCACTTCATTATATCCTAGTCCTCTGACAGGCTAAGATGAACAGGCAGGACTGGCGGTGCACACCTATAATCCCAGCACTCTGCGAGACTGAGGCAAAAAGATGAAAAGTTTGGCCCCACTGCCCCTGAAAAAAGGGAAAAAAATTTTCAATACAATCTTTATAGAAGAAAAAAAATGGAAACAAAGCTTTTGTAATCAAAGAGCGGTGGAAGGAAGGGGAGGAAATGGGAAAAAAGAAGATATATCATGTAGGTATAAATTCCCTATGATGAATGCTACCATTACGTATATCTAAAATATACCAATAAAATCGTTTCTTTGAGACTGGGTCTTACTATGCAGTTCAGGCTTGCCTTGAACTCACTTTGTAGCCCAGGCTAGTCTCAAACTAGGAGCAGTCCTCCTGCCTCAGCCCCCATAGTGCTGGGATTACAGGGGAGCACCACCAAGCCCAGCTTAGAGATAAAATTTTTAAAATGCTAAAAAAGAAAAAAAAAAAAAATACAATCTTTGATCCCAGCCTTGGCAACTTAGTGAGACCCTGTCTCGATACAAAAAATTCAAAGAGGGCTGGTAATACTGCTCAATGCAAAGGCTGAGCTGGGTTCAATCCCCAGGACTGAGGGGGGCAGACAGGTTTCCACATAAAGCCTCACCCTGGACAAAAGCTTACAACCTTGGCGAGAGCTGCAGGCTTGAAGTGCAGAGTGACCACAGTGCCACCCTCCCTGCAGGCCCCTGCCCCAGGTACTAACAGGACAGAAACAACTCTTTCAGCTGCTGCCCCCACTCGGCTTCTTCCTTTCCCTCCCCAGCTCAATCACAACTGGCCCTGGTTTAGAATCTAAGTCTCTTCTATTTTTTTCTCTTTAAGACAGGGTATCAACTATGTCTCCCAGGCTGGCCTTGAACTCAGAGCAGTCCCCATGTCAGTCACCGTAGTGCTGGGCTCAGAAGCATGTGCCACCGCGCCCAGCCAGGAACCTCGCACTTTTCTACTTTACACGTGACAAAGACAGGGAACTAGCCCTTCTTGCTAAGCCCCCTTATAAACTGTCCACTTTGTGTACTGCCATTTGCTTGCTTCTTAGCCAATTTTCCTCCCACACGCGGACCTAGCAGGCCCCAGATCATCTTCCTCGTCTGTCCTCTGACTTCTCGTTTTGCTCAGGACTACCTACGCCATTCTATTCTGAGATGAGGGCCATGGACCCTGACTAAACACAGGGATCATCCTTATCAGAACTGGGCCCCACACAGCTGGACAGGCTGGCGCACGCCTGTAATCCCAGCACTCAGGAGGCTGAGGCATGAGGACTGCCACAAGTTTGAGGCCAGCCTGGGCTACACAGTTGAGTTCAGGGCCATCCTGAACTACAGAGCGAGACCCGATCTTAAAAAAGGTACTGATACTGTACTACTGGCTGATAAAACGCTACTTTTCACTTACGGCATTACCTTGAGAATCTTACCTTTATACCTGTTAATCCGGTAGGCAACTGTACGATATCATACGCAAGGCTAGATTTTTCTGCCTCCACAAATGGGTCAGAGAATGCTCGTCCATGAAATCTTTTAAATCCTTGGACTGTGTTCTTTGCATTAGAAATTACCTAAAAGAAGAATATTACAATGGAAAGACAATATTAATTTTTTTTCAAAATAAAATAATTTTTTTTCCAATGCCCTTAGATTAAGTAAGCATCATTTTAACTTCAGAGAATTTCCTACTCGGTTCAAGTTTCCTTCAAACACTCAACCTTCCACATGTGACATAAGGGACCAGGGATCTATGTAGGTCTCAATGGCAGAGGAGACCAGAGCCCGGCTCTTCCTTTGCCACAAGGTCAGGTTGTTACACTAAAAAATTACTTTCTGTTCTTAAATTACTAATGAATATTTACATAAAATGACTATTAGCTTTTAAAAATGCCCATAGTTTAT